AATGTACTGACACCGATTTGTCTTGGTTACGAGATATTAAAGCTTTTTATTATTACTTCTCCATATTTTGCTTATTTATTTTCATTTTTGCCTTTTTCCATTTCAGTTCATTTCATTATTCATTTTTTTTATTATTCTAATCGTTCATCATTTGGATTTAAAGAGGGAGTTTCTACTCGTGGAAATAAGTACAATTTTTATTTATTTATTTATTTATTTTGGTGTATTTTTGACAGAAATGTCTGTTGTAAATTTATTTCTAAAAATTGTGCTGATTTGGTCATTTCTCTCTTCTCTGAAGACACTCTTGTGCCTTTGAATTCTGGCTGAACGAGAGGTTTTGTCTTAAATTTCTCATCTTTCAGCCAATCAGTATTTTTGTTTAATTTCTTTCCGCTCCTCACACCCAGGGTAATACCCAGCTTTACGCATCATAGCTTCACTTCAACCTGGCAGCTTAGACATCACACATTCATAAGATAAAAAACTGAGAGGAGCTGCAAACATTTCACATCCTAACTAGTGAAAGAGTTAAAAAGAACAATCCACCACCCATGCAATACGCAGCAGTCGCAGCAGAAATAACTCCTCTCTGTCTCTCTCTGGGCCTATTAGTGAGGAGGTTTGGAACCACAGTGCTTCTGGTAATGAGCCCGGCAGCACAATACAGGCAACGGGCCGGAACAGCTGAGGGCAGACAAAGCTGGCAGGACGGGGCGACTGGGACTTACTACATTTACACTGCGTCTGTTTGAGGAGCTATTGTATGGCTGTGTTCGTGTACAACTGTGTGTTTGTGTGACTGCATGCTGTAGACAGGACAATCATTATGGAGGACAAACGACACACACACACACACCAATGTTTGAGGGGCCTAAGAGAAAGTGGTGCCAAAAAGGCAGGAGAAAAGTGTGTGGCAATCAGTGGGCTGATGGGTCTGGGTTGTCCTGCACCATTCATCTAGAAAGTTCTCCACATGACTCCCGGCCAAACGATTCAACCTTGCTAAATAAGCGTCATGTAGGCCGACGGAGTTTGTCCATCCAAACAAGCTACAGGGCCGAATGGCTCTGTGTCGGGTTCAGCCGATTTTTTTTGGCCCCCGACACGACCCAGAATCTGCCCCGTTTTGGACGAAACATGTCCGGTTATTTTAAAGCTTGTGTGGGCTTTTTATTTTCATCTCTCGCTGATTCACTTCAGCAGACGAGCTTTTCGGATCATCTAACAGCAATTACAACTTCCCAAAGTTGGACTTTGGAGGATCAACATTTCCTTGCAGCTTACAGAACTGGACAGTTTCAGAACTCCACCTGCAGATTTGATCAGTTGTGAAGAAGCCAAAAGCTTTTATTTCATTTTTGTTCTTTGCTGTTTGCTTCTGTCTAAGGCCGTATTCCCACCTGATAGTCCGGTAGACTCGGTTCGATTGGGAACCAAAATTGCAAGATTTGTTTACATTTCAATTGGTTCAGTTAACATTCACACTGCACTTTGTCATACAAACTAAAGCCTGTGAGCAACCTGTACACTTCCTTGTCTTTTGTGGCGCTGCACCTAGAACCACTGAAGGAATCAACACAAAACCTCAGAGGAAGACATGGAGCACAACTTACTTCTTCACAAAATGTAACCAAACGGAGTAACGTCAGATTTTAGCAGTTGTAGGAGTTTTTATTTTTATTTTTTGCTTTTGGCAAATGTGTCCAACAAATAATCTTCAACAATGAGCTCAGCATGAGTGGCAGATGAGGCTGAACCACAGAGAATTTTTTTTTTTCCACACAAGGAGGCTGAGACGGCTCCATAGGCGGTGTTTGCCGAGAAGGAGCACATTCGGGGGCGGTTCTAGGGGCGGGGCTACAGGGGCATTGGCCCCTGCTGAAATTTGATTGGCCTCCTGAAGTGCCCCTGTCCTGTCACTCATCTGTCCTTTGCCCAAGAGTGGTGATGCTGGGTGCAGTTCTATGTCTAAACACTAGGGGCACTAATGAGCCAAATAGAAACGTCCAGCATGAATCAAGCCAAGTCTTTTTCTGTTTTTATTTTTATTTGAACAATCCTGCAGAAAAAAGTCTTTCAACACACAAACGATGGCTGGATTCTCTCACATGCTGTGCGTTTGAGAGTATTTTATCTATGTACTGTAAAATGCATATATAATATGTATGGAGAGTTTATTGCAAACTGTTTTAAAAAATGATATCAAGAGTTTTTAAGAGTGTGGCGTAATATATATATATAATATATGATGCCATACCAAAAACGGTGAATTGTGTGCAAAGATGCTAAACAAATACTTGGCCCCTCTATAAATATTGTGGCCCCATGATGGCCCCTTACTCAGAAAAATCCTAGATCTGCCACTGAGCACATCTAACTTCACAGCAGTGATGTCCACCTTGTACAGACATCGAGCAAGGTATTTATAAGTACCTCGCTGGTAACTTTACTCATCAAGCCCCAAATCCTGATTTTGGAGCGGTCAGCTGTCCGCTTGGTGTACACACATGCAATCAAACCGCACCAGAGTTCACGTCAACCAAAATGAGACGTAGGTTTTCTGGCAGACCAGAGTTCACCTTTTTGGTCCGAATCAGAGTTTGATTAAACGTTCACACTTCCCCAAACAAACTGGACTTTCAAACAACCAGAGTTTGATTAAAGCGGACTAAACAGGGCTGGTGTGAATACACCCTAAGAGACTTGAGTGTTTGAGCTGTTTGAAACTCTCGATTACCATTTTCACGATCCTAATTTAAAGCCGAAGCAAACACTTCTCAGCGAAACATTTCTTTTGTTCATGGAACACGGCGATATCACACGACGTGAACCTAAAACACGCTCATCCTGGAGCAATAAAAAGGCCCACGAACCCCCGAGCGACCTTCAAATGACGGCACCTTCCTCAGGTTTCAAGAAGCCATCTGATCTTCCACAAAGGCACCAGAAAACAAATGTGCCAGTCAAACAGAGCTAAGTGGTCAAACAGAGGGTGTTTCTGTGCACAGGCAGGTGCCCCTATTAAACAACACACAGAGCCTGGAGGCAGGAAGCTACTGTTGACTGGAGGACATCAGGTAAAGCGCACCTCTCAAAGCACGCACGCACGCACACACACACGCACGCACACACACGCACGCACGCACACACACACACAC